TATAACTTTTTGAGTATTTAAAGCACCGGCTAAATATTATATTAAAAAAGTATAAAAATGATACTGCATTTTCTTGTAGACCAAATAAATAATCAAAAATTGGCTTCAATTCAGTATGAAATTTCGCATTTGCTATTGTGGAGAGATCGGCTATGAGCCTGGACTATTGTTCAGGTGCAAACTCTCTGGCGATTTTTAAAGTCGGAGAGAGGTCGAGAATATAACTATGTGTGGAACTAAGAATATTAAAATATAATGTTAATCAAAACAACGTTTTTCATATAAATCACATGATTTACATTGTTACGTACTAAATAAATTATTTCCCCCACTAAAAATAATGTTACCCGAAATCTTAACTTATTCAAACTTCAATGTCGAATCTTTCTTACAATACTCTCTCATTGTAAAAATTAAAACCGACTCAAAGATCTGGGATGGTTGAATTATTAGTGTTATCCTGATTCTATTACGTTTCGCCATCTCACAGGGAGACTCCTCTTCTTCACTTGCGGTTAAGTCATATAACTAAATAAAAGGAGATTAGTGAAAATATGTTTTAATGATATTAACCTAAAAATATAACTTAATAAGAAACTTACACCATAATTATATTCGAGATCACTTTCAATTAGAAAGTTTTCAACTGGTTTTCCTTTGTTGGTTTTTGTCTAGATTAACTATAATTAGTATTAGATACATTATTTCTATAAAATAAAATAAATAAAAAAAAAGCAAAATACATTTTTATTCACACCATTCTCTGTAACAGACTGGAGAAAAAAAAAAGATGATAAATGAAATTGAACCATAATATTAAACATGTAAACGTGCACCTAATTAAACTTACGCTGTTAGAATTTGATTTAACATTCTTTCCCAATGCTTCTATTGTTGTACTTCGTCGCTAAGTTTAATAATAATAATAATAATTGAGACCCAAATTGCTAAATATTACTAAAAAAACATCTTATGTCTATAAAAATTATCTTTTTGTTTTTCTTATGCCCCAAAGTTGATTCCATATCTAATGTTGAATCAGAACTATCGCTATCATAGAAGGAATCCACTTCAGAATAGTTGACAGGCTTCCGTTTGCATAGCATTTGCTTACTTGAACAGTTATTTTCCTAGAATTAATAAAAAATTTTAATATGTATCCGTAGAAAACAAAACGACAACACACACAATATTCTTACCTTATTTTTTTTTGCATTCCAGTATTGCTTCCCAATATACCGCGACTGCTTTGGACTAGCATTTTTTTCAATATGGGTTTGCTCATATTTGAGTAACGCTAAGGAAAACCCAACCTCCATCATGTAAAATTTACATGATCAAAGAAATTAGAACCTACAGATATTTCTTTAATCATTTTTTTTGCATGGTCTCGCGCAAATTGCGGCAAATGTTCATCCACTTGTAATACTTCCAGGTCTCTTTTAATTCTTTTGTAGATTAATCTCATTTCATCACTTCTTAAATTCTTCTCCGTATCAAGTTTGCGCAAAAACTCGATAATAGTGCACATTGTAAATAGTATAGATGTAAAATAGGTTCCCAATCAGAGCACAAAATTCTACTGTAAAATACCGGAGCTCCGGTAAATCAAGAAAAAATTCCGGCACAATTTTTTGATA